GACATGCAGCACGCCCTAATGTGGTCTTGTGCGACGTCTCCACGGTCTGCATCTCCATCTCTTCATCGGAGCCCCTCCAAGCTCCTATGGCGCAGTAGAGATCTGGGCACCTAGACCCAGATCCTTCCTCTGGTTGGGGCCTCGCCCAGGCCTCCCTCTTTCTAACCCACCGGTCTTCCAACCCTCGAGCCCTCCCTCTTTTGCCTTGGTGGCCACCCTGATTTTGATACTCCATTACCTTGGGGAGGCTCTGGCACAGGGCACTCTCTAATGTCCCTGCCCAGGTCTGAAGGCCCTAAAGGTACCGAGCCCGCGCCTTCTCCCTCTCCCAGCCCAGGTGTAACCCCTGACAGTCAGTCCCTAGCATCCGGATGTCTACACAGCCCCTGCAGACCCCACCAGGCTCAGAGCAAGATCCTGTTTCCCAACCGCCCACTCCCCTAGACGCTCCCTGAAGAAACTCAAGGACTTGGTACTTGCTGCCTGCTCAAGAATGCGCCCTTCCTCTGTGCTCATCTGCTGATCTGTTCCCAAAGGCCAAGTGGCCCTTTTGTTGGCCCTACAGGTGAAGATAGAGGCCAGTCCGTCCCCTCCAGTTTGAACTGGTTCATGTTAGTGTTTGACAGGAGACAACGTGCAGCTGTAGTACTGTATTTTTGAAATCTATAGTTGTATCTTGTTCCAATCTTTGTGAAGCAAACTATGTAGAGAAAAAATTGTTTAGATATTCCTGAAGTTACCGGTAAAATTTAATTTCTTCTTCACTTTCAAAATGTCAGTGATTCCTGTAAATTTTTGAAAGGAGCACATGGTACTCCTGTGACCTGCTGGGGTGGGATGTGGAGGTGGTGGCCCTGGGGAGCTGCAGGGAGCTCAGGCCACAGATATGTACTCACGCACCTGGGTCATGCACAGAGAACTTGCAGACACTTCTAGAATCACCAATGCTTTTTGGAAGGGGCACCCTGCTTCTTTATGGGCATTCATTCCATAATTGGGTTATTTTCTGCCCCCAGGGTGCCCCAGAGTTCAGAGAAGGGGCTGGGCATTTTGTCTGGCAGCTCCCAGCATTCAGCGGCCGAGATGCTGTCCCCCCTGCCCTGCCCTACCCTAGCAACAGGGATCTCCTCCCAGCAGGTGTGCTCCAGGGGCAGCTGCGCACCCTCAGCCCACATTTTTCTGTGGGAGGTTCTAGGGCTTACAGGCAAGGTGGCAGCCAGGCAAGAAAGCAGGCACAGTTAGAGGCCATGCAGCCAAACATGCCTGGGAGTGCAGCTGGCAGGGCTACAATAACATTAAACCTACTCTGTGAGGGGATGAGGCAGGAAGTGGACCAATAACCCCCCTGACCCTAACCCTAACCCTGACCCTAACCCTAACCCTAACCATCAATGTCCTCACCCAAGACACCACAGGATCGAAAGGAAGAGGTGAGATGCCCCCAGGAAGGATAGAGTCCATGCAGTAAGCTCCAAGGGCTCTCACACCCTCAAGAAACTTCCTAAATACATGAACACAGCAGGAGAATCTCTGAAAAGTCCAATAGCTGGGCCTGGGTGAAAGGCAGTGCTTTCCTGAGGCTGATTTCCCCTGTAGGAACTGGCAACAACCACTGACCCGATCCTGGTCTCCTGTGATGTCCACTGGCTTCAGAGGCCCTCGGGTCTCCTCTAACCTGGAGCTATTTTTTTGCAAATGTGACGTAGTGTGGCCATCACCTGTGCACTGCTCTGGGCACTCTGCAGACCTCCAAACTGCCCTTCGTTCCAGGAAACCTTTCCCCTTTCAGTTATGCCTACTAACTTCGCTTTTTAACATTTTCCTCTCCAGACATTCTTTTATTCTCATCTTCTCATTCTGTGACTCACAGAATCCAGCCATTTTTGTTACTGGATGCAGCATCTTTGTATCTCTCTCAATATGCCAGTTATAGTTTTCAGATGTCCTCCTGGCCTCTAAACTGTCTCTTCTACAAGCATAAGGTGCTTGTTGCTATGTGGCTTATCGGTGAGTGGGCTGTCCCCTGCTTTTATGTGGCATCTGTGGGGCTTCCAGGGTAGCTACTATCTAGGGAGGATTCCTCTGGCTCCCTCCTGGATAGGTAGGGACTGACCTTGCAGGACACAAAAGTTGCCCTCTTTACCACCTGATTCTGAGGCTACTAGGCTTCCCAGGACCTCTGCCTTCTGAATCAGAGGCAGGTTCTCAGAGATTGAATTTGTTTCTCTGTGCTATTGGAAGGTGACTTCAGAAGACATGCCATCTTAAAACCTCCTTAAAAATTCACTCCTTGGGAGCAAGTTTGAACTTAGAGCAGTTCTGTCACCCAGATTAATCCTGGGTAAAACCTGGTAGACAGAGAACAGCTTGGAAATACCTTTCCTGTCCAAGGGAAGGTCTAAGTCCCAGTTTAACCACTACTTGTCGTGAGACCTCACAATTCACCTACTTGTCAGTAAAGCAGGCAAATCTACACAAACAGAACATAATAGTGGACAGAAATATTTAACGTTAGTGTCCAAGTTTTCAACGAGGCTGACAAAGTTAATCAATGTGAAAGACCAATCTTTTCAAATGTTGCAAAGATAGCTGGATATCCATTTGGGAAAGAATAAAGTTGAGCCTTCATTTCATATAAAAATTAAAAACTGGGTCAAGGATAAAAATACCAATAAACAAACAAACAAGAGTTAAAACTATAAAACTCGTAGAAGGAAAACAGGGAAACATGACATTAGATTCTTGGATGTAATGTGAAAAGCAGATAAAAAGAAAAAATACATAAAACTGACTGTAAAATTTGGAACTTTTGTGTATCAAAAGACACAATCCATAGCAATTCATAAAGTGGGCATGGTGGCACACACCTGTCATCCCGGCATTCTGCAACGCTGAGGCAGAAGTGCAAATTTAAGCCCAGCCTTACAACTTCATCACAGTGAGGCCCCTTCTCAAAAAAAAAAAAAAAAATGTACACACACATGTATCAGTGTAATCAATAGCCTCAGGTTTAATCTTCAGCACAAGGGAGGTGGGGGACTCACAGAAAGCAAGAAAATACTGTACTGGGATTAATAACCAGAATGCACAGAGATCCTTCAACTCAAAATCAAAGACTAACAAGCCTATTTAAAAATGGGTGAAGAGCTTGAACAGAGTATCTCCAAAGATACATAAAATAAATGGTCAGTTAACACGTGAAAAAAATAAAGTCACCAATAATTAAAGCTATGCAAATAAAAAACAATGATATCACCATGCACCTAGCAGAATGGTTACTGATATAGGGAGGAGAGGAAAAAAGTCTAATGTTTAGAAGGGTATAGACATTAGAACTCTTGTACACTGTACATTGTAAAATGTACAATGCTGTGGAAGACAGTTCAGCATTTCCATTTCTACATTAAAAGGTACCAACCTCCAGGCACACCTGCCATGTAGCAAAAGGCTGGGCAACTCCAAGAACCTGATTGAGGAGCGACAATCCTCAAGCGGCCTGGCCTCCATAAAGCTGCATCCTCCTTGACTGTGTGGCCACATTATTGCCCACCTACAGGTCTCTATTCACTCCATCCTAACAATGAACCAAGAGCCACAAGGGAGGAAAGCATCTCTACAACTTCCAACAGCCCTCCACCTTCTCCTGGCTCCTGAGCAGCTGGCGTGTCCACACTGCCCTCATGTGGTTGAGGCTGTGGCCAAGCCATCAGGAAAGGCACAAGTGACCACCTGTGCCTGAAGATGATTTGTGCTGTGCAGCTTACTTCCTTCAGGTGGGCATCTCAGGTTGGGCCCTTCACTCCTGGCAAGTCACCTGCCTTTACAGGCCCTCAAAACAGTGGTGATGTCTGTACCCCACAGATGAAGCCCCAGCCCACTCTCCACTTAGCCTCCACTAGTCAGACTTCTGAAAGCAGCTGAGCTCAGGTCCTGAGTCCAGGCTCAGGTGTTCTTCACAAGCATTGGATCCTAGTGGATCCTGTATGGCCAGGTGTGTGGTACAGGAACTAAGCTGCTCAGGTGAGGGGTATGGCATGGGATATGTGCTAGAAATGCTTCACATTCAGATGAGTGGCCTGGGTAACCTCAGGCATGTGGGACAGGTATATGATAGATGCTCCATGCTCAGGTGTGCACAGGTGCCACCCTCAGGTGTATGACACAGGTACCCTCACGCATGTGGCACAAGCATCTATAGGTGATTGAGATGCTTCACCTCTTATGTGTGGTGCAGGCACTCACAGGAATGTGGTAAAGACAAGATACAAATATTGGCACAAGTGCAGGTACTTCATTCTCAGATTATGGTATACATGCTCAGGCGTGTGGTACAGTCCACGCAGGTGCACACTTCACATAGGCACAGGCACAGCTGAAGGCAGGAAAATGAGACTGTTCACCAGGCCTGAGGCTGGAGGAGGAAGAGCACGTCCACAGGCTCCAGAGCCTAGGGGTGGGTGGGTCCCGGGAGGGAGTGAAGTGACAAGGGCCTTAGCTGGAAGTTCAGTCTAGGTGCTGGTGAGACCAATGGTGGCATCGCTGAGCACTGACCTCACTTAGCCAGGCTCACTGCTGTTCTGTGTCCAGAAGAGACCCAGCAGGGACACATACGGAAATCCTCAGAGCCCCCAAGCACTCACCACATGCCTCTTGGTGACACTGCAGCACAACCCAGGGACCTCAGCACCCACGCCACATGATCCCGCCAATCATAAATACCACAGAGAAGCCCTTGGGGCCATGGCCCAGCCCCAGCCAGCAGATATTCCAACATTCCCCACAGAGCCCCACTTTCTGCTCACTGGTACCTACTAGAACCCAACAGAATCTGAGCCCCACCTCCTTCACTTGTGCCTTGTTGATGTGGGCTTTTGTGTGTGGCCCTTGCCACTTGTCCCCTGGCTGTCCTACTGGTCTGGGTGGGGGCCACATCTTTGGAGGCATGTGCGTCTTAGCTGGTGAGTGTAGGAATGCCATAAAAAACTGAAGGCAGACACAAGTCTGTACCATTGCTTTATTGCTCATGTTGCATATCCCAGGGAACACAATTTCTTTTTTTAAAAAAGTAAGGCACATGAAAAGCCTCTGTGCAAATTCTGTATTTTTAAGTCCTACTGGCTAATAAAAGCATTTCCACTGCACAACTGAAGATGTCTAAAAAAGCATAGGGTGCATTTCCCCAAGCAGAAATCTGAACCTTGACTGCGTCTCGCCACATGGCACAATGAGCCACAGCCCAAGGTCTGTTATGACAGCAATGCAGCTACTACAGCAATGCAAGAGCACTCATCAGTTACTCACATATGTACAGCTGGTCCTCCTGTTATTAATTACACAGAGCCTACGGAAAAACAGCATGTAACTGTCCATGTCCCATGTCATGACAGGTAAGGGATTTGGCATTTTCCATCTTCTTGTACATGGTGCTAGTATTTGTGAGGCCTGTGTTATACGATGCTGAAGACCATGGAGAGATACTGCTCATAAGACACCTGAATCCAGCCGTCCTGATCCGTGTCATAGCGTCTGAATATGTCTGTCAGTCTCTATGAAAAGAACAGAGATTTATTTTTATTTATTTATTTTTAGATAGGGTCTCACTATGCAATTCAGGCTGGCCTTGAACTAAGTAGCCCAGATTGGCCTCAAACTCACAGTGATCCTCCTGCCTCAGCCTCCTGAGTACTGGGATTACAAGTGTGTACTACTACACCTAGCTAGAATAGGCATTTAGACCTTTACATTCCAAAGAAATGTAGTTAGGTACAAGGAACCTACGAACCCAATTTTAGCAGTAGGCATTTCGCTTCCCAGCTGATGCTGGCTATCGGGACGTAAACACCCAGCAGGGTGGTAAAGCCTTCTGCCTACAACCCCAGGACAATCCCTGTGAACTGCTCCTCCTTTACTGTGGCTCCCTTTACTCTGTGGGCACAGTACAGCTCAGCACTGTGAAGCGCGTCCCACTTAAGACTCCTGCCCTGGACCCATACTTCGCTGGTGACAGTCAAGCTGCACCCCTCCTCTTGCTCACCCTGCACTTCCCCTCTCAGGCTGAGAACACAACGAAGTCAGAAACAGCGTTGACACCAAACCCCCAAGCAGACATGGTTAAGGTAAGTGCCACTTCCAGATGACACTCAGAAGAGTCCAGTGAGAAGTAACAGAGTCCAGTGAGAAGTAACAACAGGCAAAGAAATTCCATGTGAGATGGGAGAAAACAGCACAGCAGGGTTTGCACGCCCCACCTCCCACATGGGACATTTCTGTCTGACAAATGCCAGCACAAAAATAAGCACCCTAAAGCTATACTTTGGTCAACAGTGAACCACATACAGAAGTGGCTGCTTCAGTCTGGACCTTAATGTCCCCCAGCCCATGTGTTAAAAGCCAAGATGATATGAGAGGTGGTAGAACACTCAGGAAGTGGAGCCAACAGGAGCATGCAGGGCCACATGGGATATGGGGATCTGCTGCCTTTAGATGAACAGGTCACACACCCGTCACAGGCCCAAAGCAACAGGCCAACTAGCTACACACCAAAGCTTCCAAAATTAGAAGCCAAAAGAAGACTTTCCTCTTAATAAGCCGATTTTCATTGAAACAGAAAGCTGACTAACACAGTGGCCAAGATGTGCCAGACTTTGCACTGCAGGCGTAAGCATGCACTGCCAGGTTCACGCAGCAGTGACACCCTCCTCCCCCAGTAAGGCATCCCTCAGAACCTGTCCCCTCTCTGTGACATATGAATGTGTGAGAGAACATTGGTGGCAGGTAACTCTAGCTTAAAAGACTAATGGGCAGGGCTGGTGCTGCAGCTCAGCAGTGAATGCTGGTCTACCACATGTAAGGCTGTGGGTTCCATCCCCCATCCTGCCAAACAAATAATGCAGAGTACATTCTCTTCCTGTTTCATTTTATTGCCCAAGATTTGTGTAAGTTTTCATGCTATTTTATAACTTTTTTTTTTCTGTCTTTTTGAGACAGGGTCTCGCTGTGCAGTTCAGGCTGGCCTTGAGCTCACGTTGTAGCCCAGGCTGGTCTCGAACTCGCAACAATCCTTCTGCCTCAGCCTCCCGAGTGCTGGGATTACAGGCGTGAGCCACCATGCTCAGTATAACTAGTAATTTTGAAAAAGCCTTTTCCTTTTTGGAAAAAAGCAAATGAAGACAAACATTTTTAGGCTGTCAGGTTCACCCCACAGGATATTGCAAGACACCAGCCCAGGGGATTGAAGAGTTCCTCACGGAACTTGACTGTGTGAGTGTGGCTGCTCAAAATACACAGGAGAAACTTCTGTATATAGAGAAATGTAGGAATCAGAAGTTTACTTATGGGATAAACTCTTAACTCTACAGCAAGTCAGGCATGGTCCATAAAGAAATTTCACACTGCACCTCTTTCCAAAGTGTTCAGAAAAGCCTCATCTCAGACAACTATGGGCAGCAAGGATCAGACCAGGCTCTCCCTACTTTGAGGTTTGACATTTGAATGCTACAGACGTGTCTCCACAGTCAGTGAAGAACAGGGTCTGATGTGCGCAGATGCATTTTTTTTGTACCGGGGATCAAACTCACAACCTTCCGCTTGCCAGGCAGGCCTTATGCTGCTGAGCTGAATCCCCAGCCCCCCCAGATTCATTTTATCTACTTAATAGTTTATTTATTCTAAGCATTACTCAAGCAAGTACCATGTCAACCAGTGGCTTGTTTGCGTAAGATACACATCCGTTTACCGGTTTTATATTGACTGTTTTTTATTTACAATGTTGTATTCACCTTTGACGTTAGTTTCTAGTAAAGCTGAATAGTAAATTCTGGTTATTTTCTTTTAGTAATTCATGTTTATTTTATTTGTGAAAAATAATCTACAATTTTGTACTAAAATCTGTAAAAACTCTTATCATAAATACATTAGACATGACTTCTATACTTCTCTGGAAATCAGTCATAGTCTTTTACAAAGAAGATGGACACGCTTGAGACACTGAGATGGATTAGGAAGGAAGTGCCAAAAGAACTACAACAGGTAAAACCGAAAAAGAGAAAAATGTTAGTATATCAGAGAGGAAAAGCCTGTGTTATGAAATGGAAAGACAAAAAAAAGACATATCCTTATTGTCAACTATTCATAACAGAAAAATGATAGAACTCAAAAGAAGAAACTCAAAAAAATCCAGTAATTGTCAATGATTATAATAATTCTATGGTTAGTGTTGAAAGAGTTGACCAACATACAACCAGCTATCCTATAATCAAAAAGCAAGGGAAAAAACTATTATAAAATATTTGTGCACCTTCTGGACCAAACAATATGAAACTTGTTTGTTACTTATTCAAAATAATGGGATTCAAAAAGTCATTTACAATTTAATCAAGTCTAACAGACTAAATAACTGAAAAATGCAGGACAATGAAATGTCAACCAAGATGTCCATCATCAACATCCTCACCATGTTTAGTGAGTAGAAGTTTAATTAAAATTATATCACCCACAGACAAGAAAGGCCAACATGACAGCGTAAAGTGTACTGTTCAAAGACAGACAATAATGCAAAAAGAATTTGAAAAGAGAATAGATCCTACTGTCTAGATTGTAATGTTATATTGTGCGAATGTTTTAACACATACCATACAGAAAAATCACTGAAAACTACTGTCATTTTTATATTTCTTGTTATATTATAAAAATTAACAAAAAACATGTAATTTTTGGTCATCCTGTATTTAAATAATTGGACTGGCAAGTGGTTAAGGAAACATGAAGCACTGTCCAGTAACTAGCAGGCAAAATCAGAGGAAGTCCATTTCGTTTAGTTGGAAAAATAATCATTTTACAAAACCCTACATTAGCCGGGTGTGATGGCTCACGTCTGTAACCCCCGCACTCGGGAGGCTGAGGCAGAAGGATCATTGCGAGTTCGAAACCATTCTGGGCCAGCCTGAACTGCATAGAAACCCTGTCTCAAAAAGACAAAAAAAAAAAAAAAAAAAAAAAAAACCTACACTACTTCTAAAAAACAGTGTGACTTCAGCCTGGGTCCAAATGACATAAAGATTTACCTTTCAGAGACAGGTCCTAGTGAAGATTTATAGAAAAACATTTGCATGCCATAAAACAGAGTCTGACTTGGTGACGGGATGGCATGAAGCTGTGAGGAGTTGCACATGTAACTGACCGGAGCTCACAGTGATGAATCTGAACATTACCCTGCCTTCCTGCTGCTAGGTTTTTTCTTTTTTCTTTTTCTTTTTTTGAGACAGGGTTTCACTATGTAGCACAGGCTGACTTCAAACTCACAGAAATCCTCCTGTCTCAGCCTCCCAATTGTTGGGATTATCACCATGTATCACCATATCCAGCTCCTCTGCTGTTTCTGACTGAAATTTTTCATAGTAAAAAAAAATTAAGATATATAGGGTTAATCAATCCATTGCACTTCCAAAGCTTAAATCCACAAAAGCTGGTTCTCTACCTAGAAACAGAAGTAGGACCTGCATGGGACCAGGCAGAGTGCGGTGAGAGTCACACATTGCTCCCAGCAGACATCCTAGGGCAGGGATATACTGAGGCTTGCATGGTCCTCTGAATGTCCTACAGCAGTGGTGGTAAACCTATAACACATGTGCCACAGCAGACATACAGATCCCTCTGTGGTCACACAAGCCAAGTCACCCCAGCATCGCCCAAGCAGCTGAAGACTGATCACAGTGCACGACAGGGACACACTCAGAAAGGAGTAGCCGTGCCAGGCAATGATGTCACCAGCCAAGACATTATCTGTAACTCATCAGCTGGTCAGTACTCAGATTTAATAGTAGTGCTGACCATTTTTGATATATTAAGTGGGTTTTGGGTTGCAGTGTGGACACTCGTTTCTAACAGGTTCACCACCACTGTCAGAGAGTTGCTTAGAGAAACCTAATCACAAATGCAGTGACATTTGATGCATGAGGCTGCTGCATGGCGTGCTGTTTACAGCAAACTTTTCCAGTGAGTAGAAGGTGTTACATTATAGCAATAAAAAGTATAGTATAGCAAATACACAAGCCAGGGAAGAACTTCTCATCATCAAGGATTACTTACTGCACATGCCACTCTTCTTACCAGTGGCAGTGAAGGTTTACACCAGCATCACTGTAAACATGTGATGCCTGGTGCTATGATGACATGACAGTGTCAATGTCACGAGAGACAGAAACTTTTCAGCTCATTTCAATCTTTTGGACCACTAGCAGAATGTAATTTTGTAGTATATGACTGAGTTTCAAGAGTAGAAGTAACACTACTGTTTACACTTCAGTTAACACAAGTAGCTACTTCTCCAAAGATAAGACTTTTATGGGGGAGCAGGTATTTTGAGACAGGGCCTCACTGTGTAGTTCAGGCTGACCTTGAACCTGTGGCAATCCTCTTGCCTCAGCCTCCCAAGTTCTGGAATTATAGCCATGTGTCATCATACCTGGCTTGAGACTCTTCTAGGTTCCAAAAACTAACTCTAAATGAGCCTGATGTGCTGATACGAGGCCAAGTGCCTCCCTCTGATGGCCACCCCATTCCAGCTGTACTTGGCCTCCATGGCCACGACAAACCCACAGGACACCACTGTCACCTGCAGGACAATGCAGCCTTGGATGAAGTCATCAAAGGCGATCTGCCCTCGTCCTTGTCTGTCAAACTTGCGGATGAGGATGTCGTGGAACTGGTCAGAGAGCCGGTAGCCTTGGAGAAGAAAGACCAGAGTCAAGAGGGCTGGCAGGCTGCTGATGCTCCAGTTCCCCCTCCCAAGACCCCACAGCCTAACCGCAAACGACAGCTGGGTGGAAGTAAAAGTCAAATATGTTCAAATACATTCTGAGAACAAATACATTCTAAGAGTGGCTTACATTAGTTTAAAATAAATTTACATTTCCAGTCTATGACATGACCTACTCGGAGACCACTATTACACCTTGCAAGGGCTAGCTACCACTGTCCTGTCGTTTGCCGTGAGCTCACTGCTTGTTCAGGTACACTCACTCCATGCTGTGTACACACAAGTCACCTCCAGGGCAGCCGGGCCTGGTGTCCTGATCCCTGGGAGCTACCTCACCTCAAAGTTCTAAATAACTCTGCCCAGACCACTCATTACCAAAGAATGCTTTGAAAACTAAAGTATCACAGAAGTCTCCAGTTAAATAGATGCTGATTTGAGGAAAGGGGTTAACCGATGGGGCCTCCCAAATACATAAAGGCATCTGACATCAAGGCACTGAGGTGATCAGGTAGCTTAGAATCATCACTGGGTCCTCAAGTGTATGATTCCATTTCAATCTGCTGCACATGTTGAGGAAAGGTATCCAACAGGGAGATGGTTCTGAAGCCTTGTGGACACACCCTGTGTGCCTAACACCCCTGAAGACACACTGAAGGAGGGTGCATCTACTACCTGTGTGATTGCAGTGTCCTTACTGATTCAGGAGACAAGATCCAGGTGCCAACAGATTTTTACTGGTTTTCAGTCTTGCAGGTCTCACACCTACTGCTTGAGTGAATCTCACAGTTAATTACCTGTATATATACTTCATTATTTTACTGATTAAGACTCAAACATGCCAACATGTTCATAGCACCTTCAGAGTGACCAGTGAGCTTGTCCCTCAGTTCAGGCACCCATAAATAAGTGAGGACAGTACAGGACCCTTCTCTGTAGGCTAAGAGGAACACAGGACTCCAACGAAGTCTGAAAAAAGAGCAGGTGGACTGACTGCCCCACCTCCCAACATCTGGCATGTGGCTGGCAGGTCAAGCAACAGCCCTGACTCAGCCCAGCTCATTGAAGACAGAACTTGGGACATGGGCACAGGATGCTGCCTGTGCAGGTAGGGAACAGACACTGACAGGCAGTGCTGGTCTCCTATCAGAACAGGGCAGGTACAGATGAGACGGGAAAAAAGAGAATTCAGTCTGAGAGACAGGAAAGCAACGCCCTGCCTTCTGGACCTAACTTTTATGATTTTTTTTTTTTTTTTTTGTCTTTTTCGTTTTTATTGGTACCAGGGATCGAGCTCACGACTGCCTGCTTACAAGACAGGCGCTTATGCCGCTGAGCTAAATCCCCAGCCCCTGGACCTAAGTTTTAATTTTCCTGTCACAGGACAGTGAGAACAAAGGTAAGGCTGGTAAAGGGAATGATAAAAGCAAACCATGAAAGAAGAATGCTCACTTGAGAGGCCAAAATCTGATGAAAGCAACACCCTCAGTGCCCATAGTTGCTCTGCATGCAAGTCACTAGCTCCCCAGCACCAAACCACCCAGACCTAGTGTGCTGGTGACAGGCTACACCAGCTTGCTGGGGCTGGGGATGGCGCTTTCCGTGCCTTCTGTTTTAGACCAATGCTCTGATTTAGAAATACTGCTCACGACTCAGGCAGCATCTTGCCCTCCATGTAAACCATTTATTCCTCCTCCTCTGCTGCTCCTCCCAACAAGACGAGCCACCAGAGTCCAGACTTCATACAGCAGCCAAGCCATGACTCCATCAGGTGAATCTCAGCCCTCTCAGGCCTCTGCATGATCAGAGTGAGAAGAAACAGGGACATACCTTGCTGTTCCTTGTTGCTGCCATCTTGCTCTGTGAGAGCCCTCAGAGGTGACAATAGCCTCACTGAATGGGGACAGGAAAACTTCTATGTCTGCTTCCGGGAACCAAACAGCCCTCACTGATTGTGTAAGGTCCTCCCCTTTTGAACTCCTAAGAGGGATGATACTACCAGAAAGCTGCCCTGAAGACACTCCAGGCCTTGGTCACATGGCTGCTGGGCTGAGGGATAAACACCAGGACTCTGACTCACTGCCACTAACCCCAGCCTCCAGTCACAGCACTGCATGAAAAAAACTGGACTGAAATCAGTGACTGAAAAGGCTAACCACAACACCAACTATGCCTCCAGCTAGCCAACAGCATGGAGAAGGATGAACCTGTGCTTAAGCTTTGCTTGAGCCTAAGTCAGAACAACCACAGAAATGTTGTCACCTTTGTAAGGCAGTAGACAGCACCACAATCTTATGAACAGGTATATGTCCCCATGCTCCAGTTACAGAATGAGTGTATGGGGTGGCTCAGGCCTTGGATCTACTCCAAAATATTCGGCCACAAAAGGGAAGCAAATGCAACAAAGAGACAGGAAATGACTGTAGTAGGTTCGATTATGTTCCCACAACATTGTCATTATTAAAAATGGAAACTGACTGGGCACAGTAGCACTCGCCTGTAATCCCAGCACTTGGGAGGCAGAGGAAAGAGGATCACTGTGAGTCCAAAGCCAGCCTAAGCTATATAAGTGAGTTCAAGGCCAGCCTGAGCTATATAAGTGAGTTCAAGGCCAGCCTGCACTACATAGTGAGACTTTGTCTCTAAATAAATAAAATGCCTACATAGATACACATACATGTGTGTAAATACAAACAAATGGAAACTGTAAAAGTTACCAGAGAGGCTGGAGAAGGGAGAGGAAGAGTCAAAAGGAGCAGGATTTGGGGTAAGGAGTGGCCTATCCAGACCATGCTTCTGTGGATGAACCAACAAACTGCTGGGGGAGGTATCTGTGCCCACCAGGGTCACAGGACCTGGCTGCAGGTATTAGAATGGTTTGAATGCATGGAGGATGGATCATCAGACTCCAGCAGGCACTATGAGTCAAAAGTGCCACCAGGACTGGCCTGAGACATTTGTAGCAAGTCCCTTGGCCATTGCTGAGCTCCCAGGTCACCACACAATACACTTGTTTTCAAGCATCAAAAACTAAAAGGGATGTTTGCTTCTAAGACCAACTTACTAACAATTACCACCAAAAACTTTCCAAAATAATATCCAAGTAGAATGATCATGTTCCTTTCAACGGAGGGTATGGGGAGACAGCCCTGTGAAATCAGGAACCATACACAGGAGGAAACTAAGAAAGACCGCTATGAAAGTACTGCTATTCCTCCAGAAAAGGATCAGGAAGAATCTGGTACTGCCCTGCTGGTTTCCGATCAACTGTACTTCTGACTGCTGCCACATGCATGAGGACTTCTGGAATGTCCTTGCTATGCCCAGGACACAGAGAACCTGTAAGGTCAAGACTACTGTCTCTACCAGTTCCCAGCCCTTGAAAAGAGCACCAGGGCCTCTCTCCTGAAGTAGGATGATGTTCCATGATACTGAAGGGATCCATCCAGACATGATTCATAAGCCAGGCCTACTCCCAAGTCCAAGAGCCTCTTGCCCACTAGGTAGCACTGAGCCCCCTTATCTCCTGCTCAGCTCTGTCCAGGACCAGGGGCCTCCCTGGGCCCTAGAGCCACTGTCCACACAGGCCATTCTTGTCACTGCTCCTGAAGACAAAGGCCAGTTGGGACTTAAGATACAGCAAAGTCACTTGCATCCCAAGTTTCAGTTTGTAATGATCCTATCCAAATCCTGGCCCAAAACTGCACACAACTTGGGAAGACACTGTGTCTGTATCAGTCATATGGAGACAGTCATAAGGTAAGAGGGAGAGGAAACAGCCACAAGGTACGTTACAGAGAAGTACAGGAGCTGCATTAGCAGTCACAAGAAGGGATTTGTGTTAGGGTAGCATGACTCAAACAAGCCACGAAACATTAAATCATAACCAACTTTATAAAAGGCATTTATAAGCAACCTTTTAGGTAAAGCACAAATTTTGGTAATATAAGCCAGATGAGCAGAGCACTGAGTGAAATTGTCCCAGACAAGTCTTGGGGCAACTATAACTCTTGTGCTATTCCAAACATTTTGGTGTTTACTTCATAAACAAAAATAGTAGTCTGTAATCCCAGCTACTTGGGAGGCTAAAGCAAGATGAGAGCAAGTTTGAGGTCAGTCTGCACAAACTCAGAGAGACCCTGTCTCAAAAATAAAAATAAATAATTAAAATAAAATGAAAAGGGCTGGGGGTACAGTTAGTTCAGTAGTACAGTGTTTGCCTGATATGGATGTGGCCTTGAGTTCAATTCCTGTAAAACACCACCCCCATCTCAGCTTCCTCTCAGACCCAAGAGCAGTTCTGGCAGCCTTGGCTACACTCTGGACAGGTACTATGAACACTCGTGATAAGCACAGCACACTGTCATACACATGAACCTGGGAAGAGTGTCCATGCGTGTACATGTGCTGAGCTCACAGGCTGGATGCACTTGAGAATGGGTTTGTGTGCTTCCGTGGGGTTCCAGAAGAGCAAAATTTGGACAGACTGAGAGCTAACATGATAACTTATAGAATCATCTCCTAGGGTTCCTTTATCATGTATGAAAATTCCATGTATTTTGGCATATCGTGCAACAGAAGTTGTTCCACACCATTTTTTCATGTATCCACTTTAAGTTACTTTAAAAGCCACATTCTCAATTTTGTTCTTCGCATCAACACACTTCACAAAAGTGAACAGATGATTTGCATAGCCCTTATCTCATTTTGGAGGAAAAACTGTACAAGATTCCATGTCAAACATAGGCCTCCGTGACCTAAATAGGAAACATGAACCTGCTTACAATGTAAACAGAAATTCACAGAGCTGAGTTAAAGGTCAGTAAGCTGAACAAAATGGAAGGCACTGCAGAGGCCCCTGGGTTCCAAAATGAAATATGCTACACAATCAATACAAGTGAATTACCAAAACCTGAGAGTGCTTGCTTGAGCTCGTTCTTGTCGATCATCCCCGAGTTGTCCCTGTCGTAGGTGCGGAAGACATTCTGCCAATCTGTGATGTATTTCCACACACCCGTAAACTCGCTGAAGTTAACACCAGCTTTGTTCTCCCGGTCAAACATAGCTGAGACAAAGCAGACAACAGTGACAGTCAGGTCCCTACTCTAAACAGGCTCAACCACAGTGCATGTGTGCAAGTTTCCCTGTAGGTCTGTCTTCCCACATGCCAACACAGTACTAACCTGTGGCTCTAAGCCCTGGCTTGAACATACTCATTTACTGAGTACGTTTGGACCCCTAAAGGCCCTGTCCCTTCTGCCAGGGCTGTGGGGAATGGATATCCAGTCCCAGCTCTAAATAACAATAGGAAGAATGGACACTAAGGGCTGTGTGGTAGACTATAATGACACCATGGTAAAAAAATGTTTTGTAATGAAGTAGAATCTGGAAAGCAGGTCCAATGTGGGTGTTTCTGTTTCATCAGAAACAATCTGGGGTGCAAGTTAAGTGTCCTCCACTCTTCTGGCTCCTAATCCTGGACCAAAGCTGACTCTTCTGTACCCCACAGTCTACATATATCTCCTGAGAAAAGTTCAGAACAGCCTTCATGTGATAACAGAAGCAGATATATTTTAGTTAGAAAAAGACACCTTAGACTACTGTCCTGTTAGCTTTAGATTTTTACAAAATAAGACCTGATTTTATGTGGGCATGGTGTGGTACACCTACAACTCTGGAAGGCTGATTCAGAGTTGCTGAGCCTGGCCTGTACAACTCAGCAATTTAGTGAGACTCTGTCTCAACATAAAAAAAACCAAAACAACAAAACATTTAAAAAGGTTGGGGAGGACAACTCAGTGTGATATTCTTGGGTTCCATCCCCCAAAACAAAACACAACACAACACAACACAACAGTGTAATTCTAGCTGCAAACATAAAAAAACATATCTACATATTACAACATACATACAGGTGTATTTGCAAAATGGCTATAAAGACGTAACGACTCAGTCTGAATACTGCTGAGGAGAAAATGATGTATCACTGAGCCTCCTCAGGCACCAAGGCTGACTGGAGACTGCAGTAAAATTGCCCATCAATAATTCAGTGACATTTCACGTGAGAAAGACTTAGTGAAATAGTGTTAATGTTCCTCCACAGCATGCAAAATGAGGCTGGCACCCCAGTGCTGGTTTCCACATCTTTACCTGGGACACAGGCTGCACCAAAGGGTGGACAAGTGACTGCTGTGGCTGGTTCCAACACATGGCCCTACTCCAGCAGGGAGGTGCACAGGTGCCCCCGCCCCAGCCACATCGTCCCCAGGGTCACACCTCAGCACACTCAGGAGCTCTATCAACATACTGTAGCCTGGATCAGCTTCATGCAGTACCTGCAACTCTCTGTAATGCACTAGAGCTCAAAGACAGTATGGACAATTCCCCTCATAGATTAAAACTGGTACACAGAATGGGAGGCTGGGTAGGGAACAGCACCTCAGACCCAGGGCTTGGGCCTGCACAGTGAAGAACTGAACCCAAGATACTGTATTAAAAAGAACCTGGAAGGGAGCTACATCTTTAGAAGAGTAGGCTAAGGAAAATCTACCTCACAACAAAGCAAACCTTCCAGAAATTGAAGGAACAGCAAATTTTCTTCTGGAATCATGAGGCTGCAAGTCTATCTTCTCTGGATCTAGACCTCAAACCCTAGCAACGGATTCCTGTGCAACCAGGAAGGGTCCATGCTGAGAACCCACATCCTGGCCAGCAGCAGCAATGTGAGTCCTTTCTGAAGAATGTGCCCTAGCTCAGAATCTGGCTTGCTGTATTGAGTTCATCCAACCACAAACCCTTAATACAAAGGGAAATTACAAAAATATCGAAGAACTCAGTTGCAGACCATCCTCTCTAGGGCTCAGGGTCATCAGGAACACAGGGAAAGTAGTGTTCATGTAGTTTTTCAGAGAAATTTCTACTCAAAATTAAAAAGCTATTGTATATAACCTTTAAAGAGGTAAAAGATGAAATCACCAAAAAAATATGAAATAAGAGACTATCAAAAAATAACCAAGTAAGGCTTGAAATTAGAAACTGAAAAACAGATTAAGCTGTAAATTAAAACTAAAGAATCAGTATGGCACAGTAGCACACATTTGCAATCCTGGCACTGGAAGCTGAGGCAGGAAGATCACTGTAAGTTCCAGTATAGCCTGGGCTATACAGTCAGTTCAAGGCCAGGCTGAACTGTATGACATTCCATCTCCAAAAACAGCCGGGTGTGGTGGTGCACTCCTGTAATCCTAGCACTCAGGAGGCTGAGGCAAGAAGATAGTTGCAAGCTCAAGACCAGCTTGTGCTACAAAGTGAGCTCAAGTCCAGCCTGAACTGTATAGTGAGACCCTGTCTCAAAAAGACAACAACAACAAAAAAATTTGCAATGTACACAGAAAAAGGCTGCGCAGAGTTACAGAGAATAGGATGGCAGGGCCCAGCCTCAAGCTGCAGCCAAAGTGGAAATACGCTCATCCAAGCAGCACCTAGGGAAAGGTCTGTCTGAAGAAACACTTACAAGGGGACCAAGGGTTTAGCTCAGCGGTGTAAGTGCCTGCTTGGCAAACATGAGGTCAAGAGGTCAATCCCTGGCACCAAAAAAAAAAAAAAAAAAGAAAGAAAGAAAAAAATACTTACAAATGATTGACCTGACGGTCACTGGATTAAACGGAGTCCATGTGCCTGAAAACAAATGACACAAAATGACAGTTAAACAGAAGATTATTCCACAGAATTCTGTAAGTGCCAGACCCTCAAGGCAAACCTGCGGGAATCACTGCCTGCTCTAGAGCAAAGGTTCTCACAGGGGCCCAGCCCAAGCACCAAGAACCTACTGTTGCTATGACTCCAGCAGACCCCTATGCACAGCATCATTTGCTGCCCCCTGCAGGAGCTCCCTATATTCTGCTGTCACCACCTAGAACTGTATGTTAGCTCTCTCTGGAGCGCCATCTGGGCAAATTTCGGGGTACAGCAGATATGACAGGCTGTATATTGATCTCCCAAACCACTCTCAGGCTGGACAACTCTCTAATACAAGACTCAGGGCCATAGTGTTTTAAACGAGGGCACACAGTCCAGGGACAGGGTGGGAAACCAGAAATGAGCTTCCAAAGAGTGAGGAGGCCATGCTCATATCTTCCACAACACTTCAGGGGTCACCTTCAAGGCAGGTGTCCTGAGCCTGGGAGTCCAGAGTCTTCCGAGTGTCACCAAGCCCTACTTGCTAACAGGTTTGCCACAAACCTCGTCCTTGGTGTAGACAATCCAGGCAAAGTGACACAACTCAGCTTGAGGCCCTTGGTCTGAGTCAGACCACTCTAGAATCAGTCCTCAAAGCTGTACAAGGGCTCGGCATCCAACAGGTTTTTCTTGGAAACATGACTGCTTGGGCAACCCAGCCTGAGAAGCGAACTCAGGAATCAACCGAATAGGTAGGCCCCAAACTCTCTGATTCATCATGGAGCTATAAACATCATCACCCATAACTGGGCCCATTTAAAAAAAAAAAAAAAAAAGTAAAATGGGCCGGGAACTTAGCCCAGCAGCATAAGCACCTGCCTAGTAAATGCGAGGTCATGAGTTTGATCCCCAGTACAAAAAAAAAAAAACATAACTGGGCCCATGTGCAAAAAGGATACTTATTTCACTGGATGATTCTTCTACCCAGAATTCTTGCTTACATGATTTGATTACTCCCGGCTCTTCTTTTGGGGGAGGGTGCCATTTATGGTGAGAGAGGTTCTTTTTTTTTTTGTCTTTTTTCTTTTTATCGGTACCAGGGATCAAACTCACGACTGCCTGCTTTAAAGGCAGGCGCTTATGCCGCTGAGCTAAATCCCCAGCCCCTGAGAGAGGTTCTTACCATGTAGCCCAAGCTGGTCTTGAACACACAGCAATATTACCTCAGCTTTCCAAGTGCTGGGATTACAGATATGCACCACCATGCCCAGGGTCTCTCAGTTCTTTTATCAGGCAGAGTTTTAACGACAACTGTACTTGATAAAATTACCCTCAAAAGAAGATTTTTTTAAAAATACAGCAAAAAATGTTGTCTTGAATCATACCAGTATGTTGAAGTAAGTCTACTTTGCACACACACAAAAAATAATAGGCTGAAGAAAATTAGTTTTTCATAATCCCAACAAATAGTGTAGAAGAAAAAAAAAAGGAGGGGAGGGTGCTAAGTTCAAGACAGTCTGTGACACGTTACTTCAAAAATGGAACCAAAAACTGGGCATAGAGGTGCATGTCTGCAACCCTAGCACTTGGGAGGCTGAGGCAGGACTGCCACAAGTACAAGACCATCCAATGTAATACAGTAAGAATCTGAGTCAAAAAGAAGGAAACAAACAAAACACATAAAATACACTGTCATGTGGTCCTCCTCTCCTCTGATTACAGCAGCTCTCCTGCATACACAGCTCAAAACAGGACCCCCAGAGACTCAGACACTCTCAGCATGATGTCACCTCGACAGCAATACAGCTCCCAGAAGCTCAGAACAAGCTGAAGAATCTATGCAATTTTGTAATTTCACATTTCTACTAGTAATATGTTAATTAAATTCCCTGAAATAGCTTAATGACTTTGTTTCAATATCAAAAAAGAAGGCCAATCCTTGGAAAATAACCAGAAGTCAAAATGCTTTCAACCACAGGCACTAAAAACAGAGACACTGGTCCATAAAGTGGACCTGTGTCTGTACACGGCACAGCCGAGAACTTTCATTATAAAGCTTACAATCTTGGAATCAGAGAGATCTGTGGTCTGAAAGCTGTCCCCTCCAAAACTCAAGGCAACACCCACTGTTAGGCATAAGGACTCCACCTGTAAGAAAGGGGTGGGGACTTTTGCTTTGGAGTGAGTCATGGCAAGGGGACTCATGGAGAAAGGGTAACGTGGCTCCTTCCATTAAGTCTTGCCCTTCTACCTTCCCCTGTGGCCAAAGTCTTACCACACTCTTGGCTTCCCAACCTCCAACGCCCACAGCAAAATGAATTTCTCTTTATAAATCACCTGGTCTGGAGACCAGCAGCAGAAAAAGGACTAAGACAGGGTGCATCAGAGAAAAGGACAATGCTGGTCTAAGGGTCTGAGTAGTACAGAACTACTGTGCACTTTAGAGAGGGTGGCGACATGGGGTACCCTGCAGGCAAAGGGTCAGCAGAGGCAGCTGTGGACCCCAGCAGGCAGATACAGAGGGGAAATCCCAAGGCTTCGGAGAGAATGCCCAAATGAAGGGGAAAAGGAGCCACACAGCACATGGCATGATGTGTGCAAAGAACACACCTCTGAGTTTAGACCTGGGCTCTGCAACACCACCACCACAGAAGAGTAGGAGGCTTGGGGCTGCCACCACCCGCATCACAGGAGAATGGGCAAAGCTCAGTGCTGTACCTCCAGGGAGAAGCAAGATGCCATCTGTGGTGAACTGAAAACCGATAGTCAACTTAAACACCAGCTGAACTGAATCAGTATGGAGCTGCATGTAGAGAGTCTACTTGAGGACTACTGCCAGCACAAAAAGAAGTGGAGAGGATGAGAGTGTATTGTGGGTTTTCCTAAGTGTTGTAGTCTGGAGCTGTTGGTTCTCCTAGAGAGCTTATCATGCTGAGCTTCCTGATATGAACTTAGCTACTACCACTGGAGGAGCTTGGGACCTTGTCACTGAGAATGGTTGCGGTTCACGTTGGCTGATCTTTGGTAAGGACTTTGAGCATCGCTGCCTGGCTCCACAGGGGAAGATGCATGCTGTTTAATCTTCAGAAGTTTGTCACATTGGCTTCCTGATATGAACCTGGCTGTTCTCATCATTGAAGGAACTCAGGACCTTATTTTTGCTGAGGATGGCTGTGGTACTTTTTGGGGAAACACTAGTTCTTATTTTGAGCATCACTTTTTGACTTCAGTGCAGAATTCTCAACCTACTGGCACAGATCCTTTCATCCTACAGGCAAAGACTTTCTAGCTTCCACCACTGACCTTTGGGCTTTCCCAGTGCATATTCATGAAACAGACTTGCATGAGTCATTGCATGAGGCTCTGGGCCTCCAGTTGGACTCACTGGGGGCACTATCATGGGCTCTAGGTCTTCAGCTGACCTCATGCAAGGCACTGCTGTGGGATCCAAGCCCTTGGCTGGATTCTCTAGGTTTTAGTGTGTGGACAGAATTCCCACACTTTCTTTGTATCCGACTCCTAGAATGACCATTATACCATGAATAATGGGTTCCGCGGTTCCGTATTGTCTTGCTCTCCTTGCAATCTCTGAATACAACATCATCCTTGGGATTAAATGTAACTACATGAGGCTGCCTCTCACACCCTCAACATGAGCCCAGAGTTTCCACCCTCACTGGGGGACAAAGCTTCATTTTGTCAACTTGAAATTCTCTCTCAAGCAGCTCTTAGTAGGGACTGAAATCAAGGTTATGTTTTGACAGGTACTTGCTGAGGGCTAACACCTGCTAGTGAAAATACGTGGGGCCTAAATCCACAGTTTAGAACAGGTGTTACAGCTGGGTGTGGTGGTGCACACCTATACTCCCAGAACTCTGGAACCAGAAGCACAAGAATCACTTGAGTTCAAGACCAGCCTAGACTACATAGTGAGACTTAAAAACATTGTTCCCCTCTGCCCTCCTCCCCACACCTGGTAGAGTAAGATCTATTAAACACCCCTGCACCATGACCACATGTTGCAGTGAAGTTGGCAGACTAGACCAACTTCACTACCATCAAGTGTTGGGTACCCATCCAAGACCTGAGCTGGCTCCATGGCCAGTGACACTAGGACTAACACTACTCAATGCACGGCTAGTTCTTTAGGTACTTGTGCCATGTGTCTTGGGAAGTATGTTTGTCTGCATTTCCTCGATTTACTCTCTGGGTAGCAAAGCAGACACTACGACTCAGCAGGTCTAGTGCTCACCCAAGATCATGTTGTTGAAACAGGGACAGCCAGGACTCGAATAAAGCATTGCCAGATTCCCTGTGGAGTCCTCCAAGGTGAACAAGTTGTCATGCAAATGAAGCTGCATACCTGATCATCACCACTAGTTGAGGAGTTTGACATAAAACCTAAACCTGGTCAGTGCTCTCACACATCAAGCATAAACAAAAAGTGGGTGTGCTGTTTACAAGTTCCCAAACCTCTAACCACTCACTGGGAACCACTGCAACCAAGTGTCTCTGAAGATGATTCAGGAGTGTTCTCTGCCACACTAATGCCACACATTTAAGTGGCATGAAGACACCATTCATTCTGGTCACTTGGGAAGTTTCAGACCAAGAATTACCAAATTGTGGCCTGCTGGTGTAGATGCTTGTGAGGTCTTTCTAGTAACCAGTCTTGTCCTTCCCCAGGATGTAACAAGTACGGAGATGAAATAGATTAAAAAAAGAGTAGATAATAACCAAAAAGGAGAGAAATCAAGAAGATACCATAGAGGTAATGAAATCTCTTAATTGCCTGAAAAGAATCTCTATAAATATGTGAAATAACATCTCAGTACTTGTGGCCCACACAGGTTAATGCTGGGAAATGACATCAGTGGCTTCTATTGTTCTACAAAGCAAATATGATACTCTGAAAACACAGACCCTCAGCTTAACACACATCACCAGAAATGGATGCTAAATGCCTAACATGTGCCAGCAACACGTGGTTCTCCTTTAAGTCTAGCCCCAACACTGTGAGGCTGTGTCCAGCAACCAAGTGCTGACTGTTCCCTCGCCCAGTCAACTATAATACAAAAGTGCTTCCCACTAACAGATGAGCTTTTTGACATTTTGATCAGATCTTAAAACTGGGCCAATTTCCAACTTCAATAGCACACTTCCGAAAAAGCAACCTATGAATATAATAAAAAAAAGATGGCTTCATCTGAGGGATTACAAAAAGCATTTAATGAATAAAAACATATCTAGAAGTACCATCAAAGATTAACAAGGATGAAATCAGAGCCAGGGATATAGCTTAGTGGCACAGCACCTGCGTGGCAAGCATGAGGTCGTGAATTCAATTCCCAGTACGAGAAAACAAAAAAGATCAAATCAGCAAGAATATGACTCCATAGACAGCCTCTACTGGGCCTCCACACAAGGCCTGTACTCCTTTGAGCCTCTGCCTGAAGGCCTGGTATTCCCCATACTAATAAGAACACCTCTTCATGATCCCACTTCCACAGCTTCCAATATCCTTATTTCTCAATTTGGCCCTAGAGTTTCAGCAATTCCCAGAACACAGTCTCTAATTTCTTCAACAATTAATCTCTGTGTCCCTGACAACCCTTCAGTATCTTTGATGATCATGTCCAGAGGAGTTAAGGTTCAGTTACCAAGAAATGCAAAGACCTTCAAGATAGATAAAAGATTTCTGCTGCACAGAGCTAAACTTCCTATTCTTTCCCTAAAACCTGTATGTTAGATCCCACTTCTCAGGCAGCACTTCCCAATCCTCACATGCATCTGTCATTTTGGGAGTTCAATGGGGCAACTTCTTAGAAAGAAGCTACCAACAATGTAGTTCAGAAACACTTCTATCTCTCTTATGTATCAGTAACTTGGGTCTTAATTAACCCTCTGCACTTGGAAATAAACCCAGAAAAGAAACTGCCTCCTTGGGGCTGGGGATATAACTCAGTGGCATAAGTGTCTACCTGGCAAGTGTGAAGTCATGAGTTTGATGCCAGGTACCAAAAAGTAAAGAAACTGCTTCCTTCAGTGAAAGAGGGTTTAACTTACCATTGGACAATGCTTGCTGAAGTTCGTTGTCTGATATCACCCCACTCCTATCTTTATCAACCCTACAAAAGCAAGACGACTAGGTAAGCTGATGATGAAAAGCACAGGAAAAGCAAAATGTGACAAAAACAAACATTTATTTCTTCTGCCAACCCCACAACAGTTTGTAAAGTTACTCTTGCAGATCTTTCCCATTCTGCCAGAACATCACAGGCCCCTAAGCAGAGACCCCTAAGGGATTATCATTGCTGCTCCTCATCTCAAACTTCCCTTGGTTACTCTCTCGGCCTGAAGCAATTCAAACCTGCTTGTTTCTAGTATTTCTCACAAACAGGAACGAATTTCCTGGGATAATCAAGGCATTCTATGATCATGAGTCCCTGGACTTACGGCCATTCCTTCAGTAGGATGACCTGGGGCTGACGACACTGCCACTGAGGTCGCCTGCCCCAGGTGCCCCCTGCCCTTTTTGAGCTGTTGCCATTTTCACAGCGCGGGATCTGACCTGTTCCCGTTGTTTTGAAAAGAGTACCAGAGATCCCTAGGGCCTGAGTGACTGCATACAGCGGCGCGACCCTGAATCTCGGGTCCACAGTTCGAGAGGTGGCTTGGGCGGACAAAGGAGGGGCTCCAGGGAGGGCAGGGAGCCTAGGAAGACTGGGGAGGGGGACGGGTCTGCGAGGACTCTGGGGGAGATATGGAGGAGGACGACGGGGCCTTAAGTCTCGGGGGCGCCGGCCTCACCGTTGGAAGACGTTCCACAGGAAGCTCTGGTCTGGCAGCGCAGCGCCCGCAGCGGGACCTGGGCCGGGGCCCGGGCGGTAGGAGTAAGCGGCCATGGACAGAGAACCGGCGACGAATCGACTAGGGCGGAGAGGCTCCGCTTCCGCCTTTGCCTGGGCCTGGCGCTCACGCCACTTCCGGAGGCGCCGGAAATGCACATTCTCAGGTCACTGGTCAGCATGACCAATCAGCTCGCAGCTCAGTTGCTAGGCAACGCCAGAGCGTCGCTTTGGCCTTGGCGAGATCTCTTGAGCCCAGATCTCTGCTACCCAATCTGTCCTGCCCGGGTTTTTCCGCCTCAGTGCCCTGTTTCCTGCCTGCCCTCGCCTGACCTTCCGCGGTGCCTCTTCCGCTCTCCAGCAGACCTGCGGAGGCGCCAGAAGGAGAGGAAACTGTCGCGTGGACCTTGCAGAACAAGCCGGGGCCGGCTGGAATGAGAAGGATTTAAACTGGACTGAGGACATTCCATTCCCTGTGAAAAGAAGCACGGTGAATGCCAACAGCCCAAAGTACAGAGAAGGGAAGCAGCGAAGCTTTTTTTATACTCCAGTTCATCTCCACATAAACGAGTCATTATCTTTCTAACTGTGGGTTGGTCACTTTTTCCTGCAAACCAAGTCCAAATTTTCTATAGGTTAAAATTACAGATTTCCATCACCAAAACACAATATCACCAGTTCCAGACCTTAGCACCTCTCTGTCCAGAGCCTGCATCCTACTTGAGTGTGTACTTTTAAAAATCTGCCTAATCTGTGCTTCTTACTGACATGTCCTGAAAATTCTTTTTCTATGGTGGAAGTCGGCAGACCTGCAACCTGTACCGTGATTGTAGCGAGTCAGATTCTCCTGTGCTTTGGGGACCTCTTGAACTCTGTCTGTGACAAAGCCAGCCTTCATCCTGGCCTGTGTGCCAGGCTAGGGTGCTTATTTATATTGTTTCATGGAATTATTCCAGGATGTCTGTTAATTCAGTGAGGAGGATAGTCTCTATTCTCAGAGCTAGTAAACTATCCTTATGAATTTTTCACCTCATTTGCAAATGTTTTAAAAATTTTTTTCATTTGCAAGTGTTGAACAGACTCAGCCAAAGTCATGGGTTTTAATCACTGTCACCTGAGACTTTCTTCCCTCTGGCCACCAATCCATTATTCAGTATATGGACACAGCTATAGATCTGATCAGCTCCCAACTATGTTGATACTCCTGTTTTATTTACTTTCTCTGTCCTCAAGGCATTTACTTCAGACTTTTTTTCAAATCCTTCAAACAAATTAACCTACCTTATGGCTTTGACATTCACTCCAACTACATATAAATCTACAAATTTCCTCAACAATGTGAATTTTTAAAAAACAATTTAGTGAATTCAAATCTTCTAATTTTCTCCTTGTAACATATAATAAACCTTTATAGAAACTTCCACCAATCTTTATAGTTTCTTAGTTCCATCTTTAGCCAAGCATGGTGGTACATGCATGTATTCCAGCACTTGGGAGCCTGAGGCAAGAGGACTGTTGAGTTCAAGGCCAACCTGGATTATACAGCATAGGCTCCTTTGCTGTTCTTCAGAAGTATGTAGATATTAACTACAAGTTGTGGGGGCTGGGGATTTAGCTCAGTGGCATAAGCGCCTGCCTTGCAAGCAGGTAGTCATGAGTTCGATCCCTGGTACCAATAAAAAAAAAAAAAAGGAAAAAGAACTACAAGTTGTGACCCAATCTTTTAAGTTTGCCGGTAAGTGGGGAGAAACCACCACAGCAAATATCTGTCACTGCAACAGGGCTTAGGTTGCTGCCCAACACTGTCCTGGGCTCCACCAGTCATTCATTGGCCAAGTGAGTCTCCAAGCTAGTGCCACAGCTGCCATCATCCCCAGCACACACAAATGCTCCGTTCTTTTGGTTTGGTTCTAGGGATGGGAAGGAAACTTCCCAAATTATCAAATGCACACAAGGTGCTGAGTCCACTTAAACACTCTAGTGTTTAAATGTTACTTTGTTTAGTCTTCACCTCCTTCCACATTTTATTTAAGAGAAAACTCAAATGTTAGGATGATCAAGTCAGATCCTCCATGCTTTTCCTGCTTATTTCAACAGCAACATGTTGATTCTTAAAAGTAAAGTTAACTACTATGAAATTAAGGTTTAAAGAAAAAAACCCCAGTCTATGGATACCCATATAAATGTACATGGATCATCCAGAGGACAGAGACACTGTCCTGACACCTTCACAGGCAGGGCAGCTTCCATCCATGCCTTCACCCCAATCTGAGCTTAGTCACATTAGCCCTGTTCTGTGCTACCCAATGTGACACCTCCACAAGCCCTCCCAAGGTCCTTTGTCACTTGGAGATGCTGTTGCCATGTATGTAGTGGGGAGAGGATCACACATTAGGGAGCTATCTTCTGTGACGTAAGAGGCGAATCATCTTCCAGGGCCACCATCTATCTTCTCGCCTATCTCAGCTTCAATTTCCTCCTAACCTGTTCTATTTAAGCTTTCCAGGAGTTGAGAAATTAACCGAGAGATAACAGTTTCCTCCCTACAGCAATGTTAACCAGATCAAGTGTCCAAAATATTAAGCTTTGGCCTAATTTCTCTGGGCCAGTTTAAAAATCTCTTGTTATCCTTAAAATTTTCCTAAACATCAGCACTTTCTATGTGATCAGGTTCCTAATACTTCCCCTAATGCACCTATTTGTTTGTCTTGGCTTTGAACTGTAACAAAGCTCAATGTATTGGTTACTTTTCTCTCATTGATGAGATAAAATACACAATGCACAGAATTAACAAAGCTCACGGTTTGTAGAGGTTTCAGTCCATAATCAGCTGGCTCCATGGCAGGGTGGCATGGCAGAGCGGCAACAGTTCATGGTGGCAGAAGACAGCAAAAGCAACAACAGCAAAAAGGGGAGCATGTACAGAGAAGCTTCTGTGCTGTACATTGTATGTAGGCCACACTCACTTGGGTATAGTCCTCACATCCATAATCCCAGCATTGGACCATGAGTTAACCATTGACTGCATAATGCTTTGGGGAGACATCCAGACACAAACCACACACTTGACAAATATTGGTTAAATGAATGGATGATCAAGTGAGTCATCTCACTCCTCTGTCCTGTCCACATGTATGTACACTTACACACATGTATTTTTTTGCAGTGCTGGGATCCAACCCAGGGACACATGCATGCTAGTCAAGTGTCCTACCACTGATTTATATTCCCATCCTTTTTAAAATTTTTGAGATAGGGTCTCATGAGTTACGTAAGCTGGCCTTAAATTTGTGATCCTCCTACTTCAGCCGCCGAACTAGCTGGTGTGTACCACCACGCATAGCAGAACCAGTAATTTCTTAGGGAGCCCTGGTTTCTAGTAGATAATGGCACTTGGAGACCACAACCCAGGTGCAAGATGCTTCCACTGCCCCTGGGGTAGAGGTAGAAAATATGTATTGTTAAAAAGAACAGGGTGAATTTACACTTAAATTTTCATTTCAAAGTCTGAATGACAGGGTTTTTAGTCAACTTTTGATTTATTCTTGTCTTTCTCAGGAAAATTTTAAACATTAAGATAATTAGTTAATAGTTTTAACCCACCCGCACATGACATTATTGAATAAAATTTGAGATTTCTTAATGATTCTGTTTTTCCTTTTTATTATTTTTCATTACAATATAGCCAGAGTTTGCAAGGGAAAAGATATCATACAGGACACATAATTTATATAATTCTAATATTCACCTGAAGAGTAAAATGCAAAAGAGTGTGGGAGATTGTTATGGATTAAGAACTGGTAGTCAGCTTAACGCCAGATGGATTACATCAGCATGGCACTGAGCGAAGATGCTCCACCTGAGGAAAGTTGCCAGCATAAATAGGTGGAGAAGGAGAAGGGTGTTAATGCATTAATGTGTTGTTATATTGAGGCACTGTGGGTTCTTCTATGAGTTGCTGTTTGGGCCGTTTAGATTCTCCTGGAGAAGCTTTGGTCCTCACATTGAGCATTGCTTCCCTGGCTCCAGAGGGGAAGACGTGTGCTGCTTGGTCTCCAGAATGAACTTGTCACACTGGCTTCCTGGCATGTACTCAACTGTGCTTATCATCGGAGGAGCTTAGGGCCTCTGTGTTACTGAAGATGGCTGTGGTGCTTTCAGGAAAGCCCTGGTCTTTGTTGTGAGTGTAACTTCTCAGTTCCAGCGTAGAACCCTCAACCTATCAGCATAGTGCCTTCACCCCACTGGCGTGGACTTTCTGACTTCCACTGCTGACTTTTGGGCCTTCCCAGTACGAATCTGTAAAGAGACTGGTGTGAGTCCTTCTTGTGGACTCTGGACCTCCAGTTGGACTCATGGGAGGCATTGTCATGAGCTCTGGGTTTTCATCTGGACTCATGTGGAACATTGCTGTGGGATTTAGGCCCTTGACTACATATTGTTTTTGTGTTGCGGATAGATTTCCTGCATTTTCTTGTGTTAACTACCAGTGACCATTATAAAAATATTATAAAATCCATGTCCTGATTCTATTTGTTCTCTGCATAACCCCTGACTACAACAGAGATCTATCCACACGCTTAAGAGACCCAAAGATTTTAGCTGATCCCCTGGCAATGTCCTGCATGAGTCCAGCTGAAGACCTACAGCCCATGACAAAGTCCTCCACAAGTCTACCTGGAGGCCTAGAGCCCATGACAATGTCTCATGCAAGTCTGTGTCAAGGATATGCACTGGGACAGCCTACAGGTCAGAGATGGAAGCTAGAAAGTCATGTCCAGTGGGATGAAGGATTTGTGCCAACAGACTGAAGGATCTGCACAGGAGCAAGGAAGCAATGTTTAAGGTAAGGACCAGAGCTCTGCCAGAAAGAACTTTATCCATCCTCAGTGACAACGAGGTCCAGAGCTGCTCTGATGGTGAGAACAGCCAAGTTCATATCAGGAATGTCAGCACGCTAAGCTTCTCCAGGAGAATCAATAGCACAGTATCTTCCAATTTAGAGCCAGAAAGTGATACTCAAATTAAGGAAGAGAACTTCCCCATAGTGAACCAGATCCATCCTCAGCAACTGCCACCACCAGCACAGTCCAGGGAGAAGTACCCCAAGAGGATGAAAAAATAAAGAAATGACAAAATGTGGGCCAGGTGGAGCCTTCT